GAAGGGCTCCCTCCCATATTGGATTGATCACAGGATTCTCTTCTTCCTACCACCATCTCTCTAAGTACAAATTTCCTCTCAACCGACTGGCAAGAAATTCCAGCTAAGGTGTTAGCTGACAGCAGCTTACCACATCACACCTCCTTGTGCTTGTATCTGAATTCTTAAAAACCAAAGCCCTCATAGTGGGCTAATAGACACATTCTGCAGGGGTTCCCTGCCTGATACAACCCCCAAATAAACCAAAGAAACCATCACCTCCTTATGAAAAATAACAGCTGACACTGATTGACCACTCACTGATCATACTTGTGGCAATTCCAATGCTAGGCCCTTTACATATACAATCACATTTAATCTACACTAAACTCTTAAGAGGGAAGTATCAACCCCATTTTCCAGATGAAAAACAAAACTCAGATACGGTTAATAAGTTGACAAATAAGTGGGGAAATGGGGTTTACCCAGACTTGTGCTCCCCCTACTGAGAAGGTTCCATTCCTCTTTGAAAGCCATTAATTACCACACAATCCCTGACCTGCAGTGTCCTCCCCCTTTCTAAAGTGTGCGTCCCTGGAAGTGCTTTCCAAGGAGGGGTGATGAGTCTGGATAGTACCCTGCTAGGTCCAGTCGACCTTTCCTCCTGGGTAGCCCTCAGCTCCACAAATGCTCTAGGTCACCAGGAAGAAAGGATTGTACGCCCCCTCCCTACCCCCACATGTTTTCTCTGTTGTGAAGGTGGCTGGCTGCATAATTTGGATTTTAAATGCCACCAGGGCAGCAATTTTTATGGTATGAGAGAAAAGATGCTTCAACTCCTACTTGTGCTTAGCACATGATGAAAGATTATGACAAATGGATACAGCTTAGGAACAGACATAAGGATAAAAGCAGCTTCTGTTGATGGAAGTCAGTATTAACATTTTTTCTGAGACTAGACTCAATAGAGCTAATATAAATGGGCCAGAATAATTATGGCTCTGAAAGCTCATCTATTTTGTTGGACTATTATCCAAAAGGGACTTACTAACACACGGTCCTTAAGTAAATTCATCAGCACGCTTTTGTTAATTGTGCATCTGCTAAAGCTGGTGGTGGGGAGCAGAGAGTTCCTCGTGAGCTGGAGGTTGTGGAGGGGACACAGCACTGACCCTTCCCTGAGACTCTTGGGTGCTTTTCTGGGTCATTCCACAGCTAGGCCATGGCAGAGACTGCCTCAACTTCATGCACTGACCAGGGCTACTCTTGGGGGCCACTAGATCCCACTCTTGGTGCCCTTCAAGAGGCCAAAAAAAGGGAACTTAGATAACATTAAAAGCTCAAAAAGGACTCGTGACTCCCAACTGAACGCTCTAGCTCTCTCCAACTCCACAAAGTAGAGAGCAAGGCAGAGAAAACAAATGACTTCAGAGGGAAGGTGGAAGCTTGCCACAAGCCAGAGGTGAACCTCAGCTGAGCTGGATTGTTATTAAATTCATCACAATTGTCATTTGCACTTCAAGGGCCTCCTGCTCCAAAGCCTCCAGCACTTTATCCAACATTTAGCAGGAGCCCTGGGGGTTGGGGAAGGTGGCCTGGGGGCAGGGGGGGCGGGGTGTTGAGTCTATCAAAGAGCTGACAATCAGAGCTTCTCTGGGGAGGGGAAAAGGAGGACACTGAGCTAGCTGGTCAAGGGCAGGCTGCTGCTGGGACAAGCTGGGGAACCAGCCTAGGAGCCTCAGCGTGTTACAGCCAGGTCAAAGGTGGGGCCTTCTAGGGAAGTCTGAAAAGAACAGGGAGAAAAGGGCAGAGGGAAGAATACCGATAGGGGAGCAGAGGCAGAAGCAGAGTCTTGTTTGGGATTAGTGCTCCCCACACCCAAAACCATCCAACCAAATCCACTGCCATCAAAACAACTGTGGCTCATAGGGACCCTACAGGGCAGAGAACTACGTAACTCTTGATGGTATTACAAAGCCTCATCTTTCTCCTTAGGCGCAGCTGGTGGTTTTCAATTGCTGACCTTGTGGTGAGCAGTCCCCAGTGTGAGCCACAGCACCACCAGGGCTCACCACACAGGCATCCTTGGGAGATCCTGACCTCCCAGCTGTGCCATTAACTGGCTGTGTGGTTTGGGCCAGATTACTTAGTGTCCTCCTTCTGAAAATGAAAACCATAATGGAGATGCCTACTGCTTGGGAAGATTAAATGAAAACACAAGAGGGCTTCAAAATGTTGGTGGAAAAGTGGAATTTTATACATAATGAAATTTTCCACTCACTATTTAAAGCCCCCTCATACATATAAAGTACTTAAATATGTTGTGCTTGGTAAATGGTATGCTGATGATGATGATGATAAACTGAGCCAGGAAATTCTGTCACATTCCTAGCTCTGGCCATATTCCTGTAAGTATGAAAAATACATGCCTACCAACTACTACAGCCACCCTGGTGACACTGAGACTTTCTCTGGCTCCATTAGGCTCCACGTGTGTGTACACACACACACACACACCCTACCTTACCAGATTCTGATGGCTGAGGCAGAAGTTAAAGCAGGAGGCCATCAGCAACCCAAACAGCATGCCCAGAGGAGTCATCTTGGAAGACAGCAGACCCTGGAGGGTCATCGGGGCCTGAGGAGTGCAAACACAGAAAACAGAAGGTCAATGAGATGCTGGTGCTGGTATCCCAGCATTATGAGCCTCACCATGTCACTCATGTGACAGGTATCACAGGTCTTCTACCAGAGAGGTAGATAAATCTGAAGTAAGCCTCTGTCTTCTATATGGAGTCTAGCCACCTGAAAAGAGACATGATCCGGTTAAAACTATGTAGCTAACAAGGACTCCTGTGTGAGTTACAACAGCCCTGGTTCCTTCCTTCCCCAACATTAACTTGCTAGGTTGGAGAGAGAGAGAAACCCACCAACTGATCTGTGTGTGAATAGACTTGGGTTCAAATCCACGTAAGCCTTTGTAACTAATTACTTTGAAACTATGCACACTGCCCTGCTTGACAACAGATGTCAAGATCAGTGACCCCTAAACCAACAAAGTCCAATGTTCCTGGTCATAAAGCCTTTCATATCACTTTTCAATAGATCACATGCATCTGGAACCATGTCAGGAGTTTCTTAGACGGGGACAGCATTTTAGTAAGCATTCCATAAGAATGATGCCTGAACTTGGGTCCAGAAGACTCTACTTGCTCTAGTTGATTTGAAAACCAAAGTATAACCTCCTTAGTAGCTGTTAAGACTAAAATGTCACAAGTAACTGTTTAAGTAACTGCTCATTAAAGCTATTGCAAAGACTCAAAATATCAATAAGTTTAATTTGATTTAATAAGCTGAGTTTTAGAGTCTGTGTTAAAGATCACATGGTACTTATTCTGTATTAAGAATCTTACAATGACTTAAAATAGAATATTTTTCTGACCTGGTATAAAATGGTGGCAGTAGTAGTAGTACGAGAATCTATCTAACTTCAGGGGAAATAATACAAATAAAGATTTGCCCAGAGGAGTCATCCTGGAAGAGAGCAGACCCTGGGGAGTCACAGTGAGAAGGCTGAGGAGTGCAAGCACACCAAACAGAAGGTCAACGGGAAGCTGCTGCCAGCGCCCCATATTACAATTCTTATGATGTCACTTAGATGGTGGAGGGGTCAAAGGTCTTCTACCACAAAGGTAGGTAAATCTGAAGTAAGCCTCTGTCTCCCAAGGCTGATCCCTATGAGGTGAAGGTCATACAAACTTCCACACTCCAACTTTTTTTAAATCGTGAAATCAAGATATCAATTTCATCTTTGTTCACTTCGTAAGTGACAGACATCACCCCAGAAAATATTGGCACTATTATTTTGTGTAAGATTTGTATGTTCAATCAATGACATTAAACAAAGTGTGTATAAATTGAATGGAAAACTGATTTGCTCTGTAAACCTTGACCTAACAATTTTTTTAAGTTGTTCAAACTCTATGCTTTCTTCTTTCCTTGAATCTAGAATTTCCCATAAAGTCTATTACATAAAATAAGTAAATAAATCAAAAAACTAAAAGTTACATAACCTCGAAGTTTTCATTCTTCGTGCAATGAATACTTAACATGATTTGGGAGGATGTAGGTTGGACAGTGAAACAGAATTTGTCTTAATTCAGTGGGGCCCTGGATTCCTTACAGAACTTCCAACACTCTAACCTTTTTACCAGTTCTGACCCCAGTCATCCCTCCTATGGCATACTCTGCTTCTCTTCTGGGTTCAAGACTCCATTAAAATGGCCACACAGAACTCAGAGACCATACAGATCAGTATCACCAGACTATACGTCAGGATCAGGAGTACATAGTCTCCCTTCTTCAGAGCAGGTTAGTTCTCTAGGTTCCCCTCATGCAGGGCCTCCTCTCCACCCCCTCAGGATAAGTTCCTCCTGTCCCTGCCATCACTACTGCTAAGTCTCTTCCAGGCCCATCACCACTGGCTCTGCAGCTGGGCCCACTCTGGGCCAAGTGTCTTTCACTTATAGCTCTTTTACAAGGTTCCTTGTTTTCCCATCTCTTCTTCCTTCTGCTTTGTCTCTAAAACCTCATGCATGGGTCCTCAAACTACGGCCCGCGGGCCACATGCGGTCCACCGAGGACATTCATCCAGCCCGCTGGCTGTTTTTGCATTTTGTTTTCTACTTCAAAATAAGATATGTGCAGTGTGCATAGGAATTTGTTCATAGTTATTTTACCTCGTGGTGTTGGCTGCATATAGCTACAAACTCATCACTTTTCAACATGGACCGTCCACCATGGCCAGAAACTGATCAATCCTTTCTTAGTAGGTCATAGATAGCTCATTTGCATAAAGACTAGTCCATAGGCACTTCATTTGCAAAGTCTATTGACCAATCCCAGCAGATTACACCACAGTATCAGTTGTTTTCCGTTATTTGGGAAATGTCAATCAACCTGTACAAAAGTAACAAACCCAGGGGTAGAAAACCAGAGCAAAGGTAACTCCTCAAATTTTAGGGGTGAAAAATCTCTCAAGCTGTTTTTCCAAAGAATCAAAGCAAAAGGCCACATACAGCAGTGGTTCTCAACCTTCCTAATGCTGCAACCCTTTATTAATAGATCCTCAGGTTGTGGTGACCCCCCAACCATAAAATTATTTTCGTTGCTACTTCATAACTATAATTTTGCTACTGTTATGAATCGGTCGACCCCTGTGAAAGGGTCGTTCAACCCCCAAAGAAGTCCCAATCCACAGGTTGAGAAACGCTGACATAAAGGAACTCATTTCACAGCAACACCCGGAAACCCAAATGTGTAGTGAATTTAGGGCTCACGGGAGCAAACGAGAAAGATATAATGGAAGTCACCTATACCAGGCGTTAGAACACCCCAGGTATGATGCCAATATTTTTAGTGTCCTACGGTGTGCTCTTGGCCTAGGCACATCACAGTTCTGAGGGGAAGTCACAACATGATTAAAGACATGGGAATTAAACCCAAACCAACTGAACATTTAAGTTTTAGCACCATCCATGTCTCTGTGGATGACACTGAGCAAGTAATTAACTTATCTATGTCTCACTTTCTTCATCTGTTAAAATACAAGGAAGACCTCTTTTAGGATTATGAGGATTATATGATAATACTTTGAAGTCCCATGCTAGGTATAGTCAGCTTATATAGGTATAAGTTCAGGTATATAATACCTGAAACTTATTGAAGGAAATTTTTCAATACCACTATTCTTCAAATTTACACACCAACCACTAGGGCTCTCCAAAACAAAAAACAAGCACACTCACTGTCATCCAGTCAATGCCGACTCAGAGCGACCCTCCAGGGCAGAGTAGAACTGCCCCTGTGGGTTTCTGAGACTATAACTCTGCACAAGAGTACACAGCTTCACCTTTCTCCCATCCACTAAAGCTAGTGATGAAGAAATTGAAACCTTCTTCAGTCTTAAACTGATAAAAAATGCAATCAAGATACTTCAATAATTACTAGAGATTGGAACTTGAAAGTTGGAAACAGGAAGGATCAGTAGTTGGAAAATATGCCCTTGGTGATAGAACCATAGCTACAGATTACCTGACATAATTTTGCAAGACCCATAACGTCATCAAAATATATTTTTCCAACCACATAAACAATGACTAAAGATGTGGAAGT